GGGGGGGGGGGGGGGGGGGGGGGGGGGGGGGGGGGGGGGGGGGGGGGGGGGGGGAGATCCTGGTTGGGTTTGACAGTCATTCGTTTTTCGCTGGTCCTGATCTTGCCACTTTGGGTAGACGCTTATAGCGTAATACTGCCGAAGGAAATCGCGTCTATTGCTGCGTGGGGCACTGCATTCGCTGGGCTTGTGCCGAGCTATGTAGGCAATATCAAGGGGAATGCCCGGTTAAACCACGAGAACCGCGACGGTACTACATGTAGTCGCCTTCGTGTGTACATTGCACACCATTGGCCAGCTAAAGACGATGTCCGCTTACGCCCTCGGCATTGAAAATATACACTTTCGGATACGTCTCTCTGGGCGTGTGACCCCAAGGTAACACGCACAACGCATCCATCCGAAAGGCGAAGGTATTTCGAAATGGATAAAGCCTTGCAGTACCTGGTCTCGCAGAGGTCCGTCACGAGGTTCATGAGGGCTTTCCTGGGGAAAGTGGCGATCATCCTGGGAACGTCTGGCCTGGGCGGCGGCCGCGCTAGGGCGACGATCAAAACCCCTCCCCTGACGTACTTGGCACCCTTCTGGGCATCCATTTCTCGGGTCGCGGTCAGGTCGTCGCCGTCAAGGACCATCGCGATGATCTTGCAGCGTGTGAGAGTGTTGGGTCAACGGCTTGGTTATAAAATGTTTGATCATACATTGCAATTTGTCGATTCGACAGGCAGAACGCGAACCGGTCAACCAGCAGGCCGGTGGCTTGCGTTGCGTGTTGAAGGTTGAAGCGAGGGTGCATATGACGCGAAATCGGGACACGTTCACTGGATATACTCAGAGCAAAACTGTACCCCCCTTGAACACGATGCAGTTTGTTTTTGGAGCTTGTCTGCCTCTTCACTAACAAGTCCGCTGTTCAGATGTCCGTCAGTCCTCACACGTGAAGAATCTGGTACATGTTCCAATGCGTGATAGGTCTAGACAATGCGATAGAGGAGTCCTGAAGCACCTTAGGGCCGTCCCATTGCGCTGCTTCGAGCATGAAGGCCTCCAGATCTGCAGGACCGCCCACCAACCCCAGGGTCACCGCATTCGCATTGACGGCGTCTGTTCGGCCCTGGCGCTCCTCTCTCCCTGCGGCATTCCTCGTATCCAAGACGACGATAACCTGAAGGTGGTGGAGATGCGGGGCGGCAAGCAATTAAAGCTGGGAGGTTTGCTGCAAAAGGCTGTTGCCGACGACAAAGAAGGCCGAAACACTTGGAGCGCGTGGGATTAATGACATGCCCACTCCATATATGTTGGTGGCATGTCCAGTCCATATCCTCGGTTTGTATCCTACGGCTCCGTGTTCATTCTAAGGGATCCCATCGACTCCTACCTACCAGACACAACAGTCACATATAAAAACCCAAGGCCCGCAGTAGCTTGAAATGATTTTTTTCTCTGCATTACCCAACGGTCTGCTGGTTGTGCCATCGCCATTGGACGAGCTCTAGAAGCTTTTCTTTCGCAAGTCCACTGCCGAAAGCACTAAGGGTGCAAAACGCCCCCCAACCCGTGCCGTGTGTAGACTACCTCTTCGCTTGAAACCGTGACGGCGCACGTCTGCTCCGGGCGCCCGCTCTCTGGCGTGCGAGACTGCCGTCGCTCTGTCCACCCCAGGCAATAGTGTTTCACTCTCCTCGTGTGTTCCTGAGTTTTCGGTCGTGTGTGATGCGGTTAGAAATCGACACGCATGCCAACGTGGTTTCATGGAGGGTTGTAATGGACTGCGCTTGGTGTCAGCTGAAGGCAGCAAACACACTCGCTTTGGTTTAAAGTTTTGGGACGAAGGGGGTAGGATTGGGTGACAGCAGGTAGACTGAAATTGCCTTTGGCGGGACTCGTTGCGAACGATTGTTCAGCGTTGTGCACGACTGCCGCCCCGTATTTCCCAGGTATTGAATGGTTCATTCTATTCCTGTGTGCATGGTTGGCCGTGCCAAGTTGGCGCCGAGGGGAGGACAGACCAAGCAGCTTTCGTGACTACAGTACACCTCGAGCGCTGGAAACACTTCTGTATTTCACGACAACCAAACAGTTCGTTTACTATGTATGAAAAAAATAGTTCGGTACACGGCCTTACCGGGGG